CTGTCCTCATGGCCTCCATCACTGCTCCATTATAAACTCATATCTCAGCAAACACACGACGTGGCCACAACTTTGTAGCAACGTCATTACAACCCAACACGCTGCTGTAGATTACACACAGAGATCACATTAACGTGATGCATCAAATGAACAAATCCACAAGGGCCGTGACGAGGATTCGAACCTGCGTCCGGGAGCATCCCAGACACTGCCTTAGTCGACTGAGCTACGACAGGGTTAAAAAGAGTTGAAGCCGAAGTTTACGTTGCTGCAGGTCCGTTCATGGACACACTAACCCTGTGTGACGTTAATCTGACGCCGAATCAACTTTGATTCGAATCGGCGTTGAATTGGGGTTATATAGTGTGCCCAGTGGATCGTTCCTGATGCAAGTTCATTACTATTATACCGACAAGCTCATATATGACGCCTCGACAACTGTTCAATACTCGAGTAAGCTGTGTTGGTTGGTGCTCCACCTACTCCTTCACCTGGTTCTGTCTTGGGCGGGGTAAATTACTTAACAAACATCTACCTTATGGTCGAGACTCGGGATAACATCGTTGGTGATGTTTGAGCCAAGTGAGAGATGTTGTGGTAGGCGTTGGCCAGCCTCGAGTGTCTTAAGGTCAATAATTCATCAATCAAATAAATCGAAAACTTGAATCATAAATGGTTGAACATTTATATCTCTTACACAATGTTACAGGACATTATTTACACAAGAAAAAGTAGATACCTAACCTATAAGTTTGAAAACAAATAATGATTTTCGTTTTGGACCGAAACGTTTTTGACGATGTTTCGGTCTTTCCTGAATAATTCTCGATAATTGTAATGACTTGATAACGGTCCGGGAAAGACCCAAACGTCGGCATTTTCAGCCACGTAAACTTGACTCAACTGTCTGCATAAGAGAAAGTCACAATAACATATAAATATTATGATTAAACACTACATAATCCAGACACAGAAGCTTCGTTTGCCACTGATTTATATATATATAGATCATTCTACAGCGAGGGCTGAACTTCAGGTGATTTTCTCAGTGTAGATAAACTGAGATTTACTCTCTGTTAGAAATACAATGTAAACTCACACAGCTTATTTACACTGAGATATATAACACATCAATGTATCCTCCGTGTATTTTTTTGAGAGATATATACAAGAGTTGTTACATTCTTGTACAGCCACTAGTACGCGTAGCGTTTCGGGCAGGTCCCTGGAATACGATCCCCTGCCGCGAAGAATCGTTTTTTCATCCAAGTACACATTTTACTGTTGCGTTAATCAGAGGCTACAGTTAAGGAATTGCGCCCAGTAAATCCTCCCCGGCCAGGATACGAACCCATGACATAGTGCTCGCGGAACGCCAGGCGAGTGTCTTACCACTACACCACGGACTGACTGATTTAAAACAACAGTAAAGGGTTAAGATCAACGCGGGAGGGTCCACCGAACTCAAGTCTTCAAGGACAGAAATTTTTTCGCGTGGAGCATGTCGAGCAGAACATATTAGGCAAGCCAGGAGTTGACTCCGCCTTGATTGGGAAAGCGAAATGAAGGTTCCTGCGTCATATACCGGCTGAGGGATTCAAATAAAAAACCCGTCTCCTATTAGCTGAAGACCCAGAATAGAGGAGAGCCGCGTGGAGACTTAAGGAGTCAGAGTGTCTCCAAACGTCTAATGCATCACAGTATTAGAAAGGTGTGGACATAATAAGAGAAAAACGATATATGTCACATGGAAGGGATACGAAAATAGGATAGAAGCTGGGACAGGAAGACAGGCTAACAGCTGGGATAGGGAGATATGTGCTGGGATTCAGCTAGGCTCTACCCGCCGGGTCAACCAGCTCTTTGGATTATTGGGTGGTTGGTGGGTGAGCAGTGGTAGTGGTGGGACTGTTGGGTAGTTTGGGTTCTGGGTAGAGGTGAGAGGATTGGGCACCGAGGGTTGAGGCAGCCATTGGGGTGCACGTCCGTGGGGCCTCACGCATTAAAAACAGAGGTTGGTGTATAACCCAACACGCGTCTTCCTCAACCCTCCATCCTCCCCCCCCCAAACCCCTCAAAAATAATAATGTTTCGAGACTGTGGTGTATGTGAGGGGCACCGGCATGTGAGGCGTCTCCCTACACACGTGGTGGAGGTGATCATCCATCACCTCCCAGCACACAAGGTTCGACGCTCAGATAAACACCAGACTGTTACCTTCTAAACGACCCGACAATTTGCAGCAAACTGCCTTTAGTGCTTGTTAGCAGACTTTTAAGATTCCAAGGACGGGGAGCACCAGAACAGATTATTATTTATTATTATTTTTTTGTTTAGACAAAGTGGCCAAACTTAGAGACATGAGACTTATAAATGTTATATTTCACGGTGTTAAGATTATTTGTTGCCCCATGTAAAGTAGGAGTCAGAGGGACTCTCAGTTAGCTTCCTCTTGAAGCTTCTTGTTCCAGGACTACTCGACTGATTGTGCTTGCTAGGGGTGAGTGTCTGCTCTTTGGTAACTGTTAATCAACTTGTGTACAGATTCCTGAGCCTACTGGGCTCTATCATATCTATATATGAAACTGTGTATGGAGTCAGCCTCCACCACATCACTGCCTAATGCATTCCATCTGTTAACTACTCTGACACTGAATTTTTTTTTCTAATGTCTCTGTGGCTCAGTTCCTCCTTTGTCTCCTTGTACGAGTACCAGCCATCTTAAACAGTATGCTTTTACCTAACCGATCAATTTCCCCACATAATTTTTTATGTCAAAATCATGTCTCCCTTAACTCTTCTGTCTTCCAGCCGAGTGAGGTTTAGTTCACGCAGCCTTTCCTTGTAACTCATACTTCACAGTTCTGGCACTATTTTGGTGGCGTACCTCTGAACCTTCACCAATTTCGTCTTGTGTCTGACTAGAAGTGGACTCCACGCTGGAGCCACATACTCCAGGATTGGTCTGACATACGTGGTACAAAAGTTTCTCAATGATTCCTTACCAAATTTGTAAAAGCATTTATGACGTTAGCCAGTTTTATATATAGTGTATCGCTTTTGATATCCTTTTGATGTGGGCTTCAGGAGAGAGGTCCGGTGCACTGTCATCCTCTTATAGCTCCTCTCTGTACGTTCCTTGGGAGGATTTCATCTGCAAATTAATACCTTGTGTCTGGCCTCCTACTCCCTCCACCTAGCTTTATTACTTTACATTTACTTGAGGTAAATTCTAGTAGCCATTTGTTAGACCATACTTTTAGTTTGTCGAGGTTATCTTGGAGCCTTTTGCTGTCCTCTGTGTTAATCCTTCTCATAATTTTCGCATCATCAACAAACATTGAGAGGGATGAGCCTATTCCCTTTGGAATATCGCCGACATATATAAAACAGGATAGGTCCAAGAATTCAACCTTTTGCGAATCCGGTAGTGACATCTCGCCACTCTGAGACCTTCCCCCCTCACAATGACTCGCTGTCTTCTGTTGCTCAGATACTCCCTTTTCCACTGGAGTACCTTTCACGTGACTCCTCCCTGCTTCTCCAACTTAAGCACTAGTCTCTTATGGAGTATTGTGTCAAAGGCTTTCTGGTCATCCAAAAGTATACAGTCTCCCCACCAATCTCTTTTTTTATCTAACGTTTGTTCCCTGGTCATTGAATTCTAATAAACCAGTGAGGGAAGATTTGCCATCCCTGAACCCGTGCTGGTGAGGTGTTGCAAAGTTCCTTTTCTACAGATGTTCTAATACTTTTTTATCACAATCTTCTCCATCACCTTGCATGGTATGCAAATTAGGGAGACAGACCTGTAATTGAGCGCCTCATGTCTGTCTCCCTTCTTGTATACTGGGACTACATTAGCTGTCTTCCAATATTTTGGCAGTTCACCTGTTACCAGTGACCTATTATATACCATTGAGTACGACCAGCCAATGGTAGCTCCTCCCGAGGATAGTGAATATTGACTGACGTCCCTCCACCATCCCTCGGCCGGTGGACAGTGACGCCCCCCCCCACTGTGAGGGAGCTGGAGCGGGCCCATTAACCTGTCCTCTTGCCCGCGATAAAACCTCGTCACTCCACATTCCAAGCTTCCATTTTCTTCCTGGTGTTAAGTCCTGCTTCTCTTCCTGCTCCAGGACTCACCAAATGTCCACTTGCGAAACCTGTACATCTTTTCTGAATCACGTCAGTTGTTTTTTTCACATTTATTAAACAGTTTATGAGCACCGAAGCCCCACGAGGCTGTTTATAACAATAATAACCTTGGGTTGTGAAGATCCGGAACGCGGACACTGTTTATTAAATGTAAAAAAAAAAGCCGCCGACTGGGAGTGACTTACGACAAGCTAAAAGTATTCTGGTAAATTAAGGAGTGCCTACCAGGAGGGAGCCCGAGGGAGAGTAGCACTCGGACCCTCACAACGGTGGTGATCTATGCGGTGTTTTATTTAAAAACATTTGTGATAACAACAAATATGAACAAACATGAAAATATTTACAAATCATAATTTAGGTTATGAATCAGTGTTAATATTTGCATTATATCTCGAGCTCCACACCTGCCCGTCAGCCAGACTGGCGTTCCACACCTGCCCATCAGGCTGGTACTCGACATCTGCCCGTCAGACTAGCGCTCCATACCTGCCCATCAGCCAGTCTGGCGCTCCACACCTGCCCGTCAGCTAGACTGGCGCTCCACACCTGCCCGTCAGCCAGACAGGCGCTCCACACCTGCCCGTCAGCCAGACTGGCGCTCCACACCTGCCCGTGAGGGCCCGCGATATGTTACATTAATTATCTTGTAAGTGCGATATCTGACCAGATACAGATCGAGAGAGGACACTCGTGGTAGCGACCTCTGGTATCCGCGGCGAGGTAATATACGCTGCGGTAAACCAAACTGTTCGAACCTCGAGGTAAGTCAACCTCGGGATTCCTGGTAAACCAACAGGTTTACCAACTGAATAAATCGGACGGTTTAGTAGAGGGATATCTTATGAGGAAGAAAATGGCCGCCCAGGTCGATGGGGACACCCGCTGGATGGGTCGACAACACCCGCTTGCGGCGTCGGGGACACGGGCCGCTGGCGGCGTCGGGGACACGGGCCGCTGGCGGCGTCGGGGACACGGGCCGCTGGCGGCGTCGGGGACACGGGCCGCTTGTGGCGTCGGGGACACGGGCCGCAGGCGTCGTCGGGGACACGGGCCGCTGGCGGCGTCGGGGACACGGGCCGCTGGCGGCGTCGGGGACACGGGCCGCTGGCGGCGTCGGGGACACGGGCCGCTGGCGGCGTCGGGGACACGGGCCGCTTGTGGCGTCGGGGACACGGGCCGCAGGCGTCGTCGGGGACACGGGCCGCAGGCGTCGTCGGGGACACGGGCCGCAGGCGTCGTCGGGGACACGGGCCGCAGGCGGCGTCGGGGACACGGGCCGCTTGCGGCGTCGGGGACACGGGCCGCTTGCGGCGTCGGGGACACGGGCCGCTTGCGGCGTCGGGGACACGGGCCTCTTGCGGCGTCGGGGGGACGTTTGAGAGACGTTTCATCACCTGCGACAACGCCACACTAGGAGGCCTGGTCGAGGACCGGGCCGCGGGAGCGTTAAGCCCCGAGATCATGGCCAGGTCATGGCAAGGTGACCTGCGGTTCACAGTGTGCCGCCACACAGCTCGCTCTACGACCTGGTGCACAATCACCTTTGATATATATTATTTGTGCTGGCCAACAGGATATCCTTGAGTCGTGTACTACGCCTTAACCTGCAGCAACACTCTAATTGATGGTTGTGTGGCGTAAATTAAATCTCCATTTATCTTTACCTCCTTGAGGAATGGAGGTCCCGACGAGCGAGTGACGTGAGACACTGATCCGTAGAGGGTCGTGGGAGACATTCCGCTTGAGATCAATGGGTCGTAACAACTCCTCATAACAAGAGCGTCTCTCACTCGCTCCTGGGACAAGCGTCTCATACTTCCTCATTATCTGAAGGTCGGGTACTAAAGTCAAGTGTGAGGGAACCTAAGACTCCTTCATCACGGCGGGGCAAGACAGCGGCGCCTGTCACACGTCACCGAGATGACTTGATGGCAAGGGGTTGTGGTGATGTTTGGCGTGACGTCAACGACAGCCAGTGTCAATATTTGTCATTACAGACACCTCAAGCAAATTAATGTGTTATGACTGTCGCTGAAATATAATCTGTAAGTTTAAGGGCGCTCTGTCCCTTGTGTTCTACTGTGTGCACATGTACTGCATTACACCTCTACATGTACATACATAATGTGTAGCACGTGCTACACATTAGCTCAGCTGTGGCACTTGTATTCACAACTCTCAAAATATATTTATTTTTTTCTAACTTGATAAATCACCGGTACGCTCTTGGTGGCTCGTGTCGTAGGCTGCTGGTCTCTGGTAGCCGCCTGTGATCACTTCAAATTGCTGGTACTTAACGAGGCATCAGGAGCGCGATCAAACGTTGTGTTTACTACAAGTCTACGCTGCCCCTGAAAGATGAGGGAGGGGGGGTCCTATACTCATCCACGTACGTCATACCGTGCGGTCGCTGGGGTCACACAAGTGCCTCCTTAGTCGGCGAGGCTGACATTATCTTTACCATAATTATCTTCTTGGGTTAGATTAGATTGGGTTGGATTAGGTGTTGGGTTGGGTTGGGTTATGTTAGGATAGGTTGGGTTGGATTAGGTTTTGGGTTGGGTTGGGTTTCAATATAGAGAAGCCACGACGTAGAGGGTGACATACTTATCTCAGGTCTTAGACCCTACTCCCATAAATATCAAGCCGTCAGACACGTGACATCTACGCTTATAGTCGCGTATCCGGAGTATTGATTTGAATAGGTACTCTATAGTTAACCGGCACGCAGTTATCCGGACCAGAAAGCTTATATTACGCCTATCCAACTCCCCTCTAGGCAAGATCGATACTCACTGTCACTCATCCAGTTACTGGTATGACCCAGTGGTACTTAACCTGAGTGAAGTTCACATACGTTAACGAACCACAGCACTAAGTTAGTGACACTTGTTTTAAGTACTGGTGTAAAGTGTTTTGTCGCCCCGACTAGAAAACGGTGTCACATTTTGACCAGACAACACACTAGAAGGTGAAGGGACGACGACGTTTCGGTCCGTCCTGTCGATTGTCGACTTGAGAATGGTCCAGGACGGACCGAAACGTCGTCGTCCCTTCACCTTCTAGTGTGTGGTCTGGTCAACATACTTCAGCCACGTTATTGTGACTCGTCGCCTGCACACGGTGTCACATTTCCTGTCAACTGTACCTGTCACCTGACAACTTTCTCTGTCATCTGGACGGGTATATTTGACTGCTGTCTAAATGAGCCACAGAGCCTAAATTTACTGCCACCTATGCGTTCAACGGTGCTATTGCCGCCTGCGGCTTGTATCAAACAACGGGCTCTCACGAGTCATGACAGCAGGAGCAACAGAGCCGTTGACAGTCACAGGAGAATGACAGACACGGCCACCATGCATACACACCATGTATCAGCGGACAAGCCAAATGTATGGGACAAACCATTGTATGAATGCACAGAAATACAAGCAAATATATCGTGTATAGTTTAGTAACTAAAAGCTTTAGTAAGGTGTATGGTCACCATTATCCAATAAGCTTACATTGCTTTACTGAGGCATTACTTGCATTACAAGACTGACTGGGATTACTTGGATAGTCTGGATTAGCGGGATTACTGCTGGTCGCGATGCTAGAGGGTGGAGAATCTCCCTGGATACCAGCCAGAGATGGATGCTGGGATTTATCTCGGGTCAGTGATGCTCTGGTCTTGAGTTAGCCCTAAGTTTAGGGGCTAGGTTTAAGTTTTTTTTAAGTCCTAAGTTTTAAGTTTTACTCAGTAAACAAAAAGGCAAATGTTTCTCTAACCAAAAATGCAACAAAATTGAAGCTGTTTTACCCCGTCAGAAACGTAACAAATGCAATTGTTTTGCCTAACCTGAATTGTTCAAACCCAAACATCCCACTTAACCCATTACAACTCATGTTTAGAAAACAAACATTTTACGGCGCTTTCTTAACTACCACGAACGTCTCTTTTTAGACGGATTAGATAATTTCTTAAAAAAAAATGGGACATATTAAGCGAGAGGACAAGTTAGTGACGGATGTGTGAACATGGATGATGTGTGTACATGGATGACAGGTATTGCAAATTGAAATATTATAATGATGACAGCACCACATTGACTAAGATCTGGCAACAAGGCCTTAGTTGCGGTTCCATCACTTAAGACATAAGAGATAAGAGATGAGAAGATCTCATTCACCTGGGCTCTAGGAGACTCGAACCGTAGACCCCACGTGTGTGAGGACCAAGCTCTATAGACCGAGCTATTGAGGAGTCTTAATAAGAAAATGAGAAGAGATGAGAAGTATTGGTGTGGTAGTTGAGGTGAGGAGAGGCCCGGCCACTGTCAAGGAAAGTCTTCCCTCAAGGGTGAAGTTTTGGAGTGTATTTAATACACACTTGAGTGAACATCGTTAAGTGAAAAGAGGACCTGCCTCTCCTAGGCCGCAATAGGCCTACTGAGGGGTTACTGTGTTCTTCTGTTCTCTCAAGGGAGTGAGAAGGAAGAGGCAGAAACTTAGTGTCGAAGACTAAGCAAGTTGACTCCATACACGGACTGTGGATTGGTGAGGTGGTGTCTCTCTCTCTCTCTCTCCAGACTGTCCATGTGAATGGATGACATCCGGGCCTGTCAGGCACAATACGTGCTCAGGTTAGGGATGGGTGATGGAGGTGGTTGTAGCGCTCATGTAAACCAAAACAGGTGACGTACACAGTGCGCGTGTGCGCCTCCACAGTCCTGGCGGGAATGTCAAGACCCGCGTGGACACCTTCCTCCTCCACACGGCACAAGAATGACGTTCACACGAAGCAGAAAACTAACTCTGTGCTCAGGTAATGTTGAATTAGTTTCGCAATGCCAAGAGCTGCCAGGAAAGCTGAACCTCTTAAATAATAGCTGCCAGGAAGGGTAGACATAGGAAAGCGTAGTAAAAGTCACCGTTTTATTTTGTTACCGCTCGCTGCGCGGCGTGATGGATGGTTTTGCCTCTTATATAGATCACCTGTGCTGCTGCTGCTGCTGCTGCTGGTTTGGGCAACGTATTCGGCGGCCGTCCAGCCAATTATCATGGTAAATGATCCGCGTCACTAGTTAGGCTTGGTCGTGAAAACAGAACTTTGACGGAAATGAGACGACCTTGCAGTGCGCTTTTTAGAAGAACATTATTACTAATGCTGCCTTAATCGACTGAGCTACGACGTGTCGATTATCAGTCGACTTATTAATCGACTTAATCAGTCGATTAAGGCAGCGTCTGGGATGCTCTCGGACGTAGGTTCGAATCCTAATCACGGCCCTTGTGGATTTGTTCATTTGATGCATCACGCTATTGTGATTTCTGTGTGTAGATGTTTTACAGTTTACAGAGATGTTTTACAGATGTTGTACAAGTCCAGGATGGCGGAGTTAACCCTCCCAAGAGACCCACAACTATACCTGGCGCTAATGCACCCTTCAGCTACGTCATGGCAATTGTAAGTCCTCGAAATCGTGAGTAAAAACCTTTCCTTCACTTGGACCATCTTGAAAGCGATGTGAGTGAAACTTGAAAGCGATGAAGCCGTTGCTCTATCAGCCAGGTCAGGAGCCACAGTAAGGTGAACACACACATAATTGCCTACAGGAAGGGGAATGTATGGAAGGGAACTCGCCGCTTCCTACCTTACACCTTTCCCTTCCCTTCTCAAACCCATCTTCATAACATTTTTTTCAACTGTCTTCTTGTTTTCCTGATTTACTGTCCCTTATTCCTTCTTTGTTTGATTCCCGTTGTTTGCTTCCTCCTCCTCCCTCTTTAATATTCCTTTTACATTCTTGAGACTATTAATCTTCTCTCATTTCTCCTGGGTCTTTTTACTCGCTTTCTCCCCTCTTCCTTACTCTCCCCTCATTTCCCACTTCCATATCTCTTCTGTCTTTTTGTTGTTGGCGGACAATAGGAACCCATTCACACGTCATACGTGACCGTCAGCAGCTGTGTGGGCGGCCGAGGGCGCTGAGGGAAACGCTGTAGACTACTTCAGCTCCAGCGCCAGTGAGAACCAGGGGGCTTATAACCTCTTGAAGCGATAAAGGTCCCGCAATGGTTACCGAACGTGACTCCATACCCCTCCCCTCGCCAGACTGTCGGGGTGATCTGACTACCGTCAGTCTAACAAGGTGGTACTAACAAGACTTCAAACGCTGCCAATAGCTTGGTTATATTTTGCATGTGGATAGTGAGGATCAGAACTGCTGGAAGGATATAGTGAGGGATTTTCTCATATTGACAGAGAAACGGCAGATGACAGATACTCACGTTGGCTACAACAGAGGTGCCGTTACTGGCACTGTTACTCATTTATTAATTTCATTTATTCTTATGTTCTTATTTAAAAACAAATTCCAGAGTTTTGAGTTAAAAACACTGTTAGTAAAATATAGATTATGTTCTTAAAATATAATCCCATTTTGTACCTGGAAGATAATCTCGGCTTTAAAGGTCGGTAAATGTTAATTTCTTTTTGACAGCGTGTTCACTCGAGGGAGTTAAGTGAGACCATGTGGGTGTGGTGGCAATTGCTGACCTAAGAGTGGCTACCTGCCAGCGACTACGGAGGACACACGGGAGAGCTACAGCCTGGCGTTTTTTCTTACAGACAGACGTTCGAGCTCTTTGTAGTACCGGAGCTTAAAGTTGTGGATGGAGGTGGGTTCCACGACTTCTTCTTTGCCTGTCCGTACACGGTACGAGATACATTTCTTCGAATCATTTGAACTGC